TTAACATAATAAATGTCCCCATAAAAATATTGTAAACCTTTGAAACGGGGGAAGCCTATACATTAGGCTGTAAAACAATTGTCGCTTATTCACACAAAAAACGCATTCAGTCCCGGGCGGGCCGCACATGCTCTTGAATACATTTCCGGCAGAGGCTGCCTTCCGGGAAAGAATGTTCCTAACTTAGAAGTGAAACTTGGCAAAAAGTGGAATTGATGGGATACATTGTGCAAACTTCTGGGCACTAAAAAGATGCTAACGATACTAATTCCGCCAGTTTACCCTCGGGTGAACCTCTGGGATTCTGCATTTTGTTTTCCCTGTCTTTTGATTCTCATTTTCTTTTTCCATATCCATATCCTCTTTTATTGCATTCTGAGTAACTTCTCCCGTTCTGTTTTTTCCATTCATTAATGATTCTGTAACTATTTGCACCTGCTGTTTAACCTGTCTGGGATAGGCAGACTAGTCCCTGCACCGCCTCCATGAGGTCCACCCACCTCCTGTGCCTGGGACCGGAGGAGTAAGGTAGCAGGTGGGATGGAGGGTGCTAATCCGCTGACTTTGAGATGGAAGTTGATCATGGATTCTGTGTACGTGGGCCAGATGTAATCAAAAAGCTCTTACAAGCTATGCCAGCACAGCCAAGGGGTCGGTGAGCCTGAGTGTGTGTGTGTGGGAGGGTGATTGGCGAAGGATGTGGAAAAGACAGAAGAGAATAAGCTGGATCTAGGTGGATCTTCTGTGCCTGGATGAGGCCACAGAGAAAAGATCCAGAAGGCAAGATGATGCTTTATTTTATAGTCAGAGGTAAATAAACAAGGTAGTGGTCACCATAGTACAGTGTTCTTAGGAGTTTCACTTGTTTTGGCAGCACTTGCTGCACCTCCCACAACCCATTAGCTCCTCGGGAAGGATTTAGGGAGTGTTATAATTATGCTAAGGGGGCTGTGCCCTCTAAGCTGGGACTTGTTTGTGGGTTTGCCAACAGGTCAGTCTGAGGCTTAACCCGATAGCCGCTCCCTACACTCTTATAAGAGGAAGAGGGAGACAGAATCAGAGATGGCAGCCAGAGCAGGACGTGGCCTGATGCTGCTGGCTTTGATGAGGCGGAATGGGGCTGTGAGCCACGGAATGAGTGTGGCTTCTGGAAGCTGGGAAAGTAGAGGAAACAGATTCTCCCACAGATCCTCCAGAAGAGGCGCTGTCCTGCGGGCACTTTGATTTTAGCCCTAGGGAGACCCTTTTAGACTTCTGACCTCCAGGAGATAATAAATTTGTTTTGTGTCAAGTTACTAAATTTGTGGCAACTTGTTACAGCAGCAATAGGAAATCAATATACCATTCATTTGAGTATTTAATTTCAACAATAATACATTTGCTTTCTAAGAGTCTTTTGATCCTTTTCTCTAGTTTTCTTGGTCATTTAAAATATATATATATATATATATATATATATATATATATATATATATATAATTTTTTACAGAGAGGAAGAAAAAGGGATAGTTAGAAACATCGATAAGAGAGAAATACCAATCAAATACCTGCACACCTCCCACTGGGGATGTGCCCGCAACCAAGGTACATGCCCTTGATCAGAATCGAACCCGAGACCCTTTGGTCCACAGGCCAGTGCTTTATCCTCTGAGCCAAATCAGTTAGGGTTTCTTGATCATTTTTTTTTTTTTTTGGTGCCTAAACCTGGGAACGTGTTGGTCATTTTTAAGGCTCCTGTTCTTTGCTGATTCCATCACTTTCTAAAAAATGCATATGTAGTTAATTTTTGCTTTGCATTAAACTTTGAGATAATTATAAATTTGCACGTAGCTTTCAGAAATAATGCTAAGATCCATGCATGTACTCTTACTGGTAACATCTTGCAATATCACATCCAGGATATTAGGCATTGACACAGTTAGGATACAGAATATTTCCATCACTACAAAGATCCCTCATGTTGTCCTTTTATACCACACCATCCCTCTTTAACCACTGGCAACCACTAATCTGTTCTCTATTTCTATAACTTGTCATTTCAAGAGGTTATGTAAATGGAAGCATACAGTATGTAACACTTGGGGATTGTTTTTTTTTATTTACTCAGCGTAATTCTCTGGTGATTCATCCAGGTCATTGCATGGGTCAGTAGTACAATACTTCCCCTTTTACTGGTGAGTGAGTAGTATTTCACAATATTACCACACAGACAGCTTAACTCTTCACATGTCGAAGGACATCTAGGTGATTTCCAGTTTTTGGCTATTTTGTATAAAGCTGCTGTAGACATTCATGTACAGGTTTATATGTGAACGTAAGTTTTCATTTCTCTAGGAATGAAAATACTCAGGAGTCCAACTGAGTAGTTACATGTTTAGTTTCTTAAACTGTCAAACTATTTTCCAGAGTAGCTGTACCATTTTATATTCCCACCTATAAATGTATGAGTGACCAATAGTTTAATAGATAAATTGTGGTATACTCATACAATATAGTAACACCATAAAAAAAGAATTAAGTTTTGCCTGGCCAGTGTGGCTCAATGGAGGCTGCAGTTTGATTCCTGGTCAGGACATGTGCCTAGGTTGCAGAATTGATCCCCAGTGTGGGGCATACAGCAGGCAGCCAATCAATGATTCTCCCTCATCATTGATGTTTCTCTCCCTTTCCCTTCCTCTCTGAAATCAATGAAAAAAATATATATTTTTTAAAGTGCTGATTTATGTTACATGTTGGTGGACCTCAAGGACATTATGTTAAGTGAAAGAAGCCACACACCAAAATGTCACATATTGAATGATTCCTTTTATATGAAATAGCCATTGATGTTTGTATATTTATCTTTTATGTTTTGTGTGACCTTGCTGAACTCATTTATTGGTTCTAAGAGATGCTTTTGGTAGATTCTTAGGGATTTCCTACATCGACAATCATGTCATCTATATATCAGACTGTTTCATTTATTGCTCTCCAATCTGTATGCCTTCCATTTTCTTTCCTTGCCTTATTGCACTGGTTAGAACTTCCAGCACGATGTTAAATAAGTCATTATGGGGAGGAGGTGTGGGAGGTGGGGTTCATTTCTGCTGGTGGCTCTCTACTCTGCCTTTTCTGTCACTACCCTCTTAGTGGTGGCCAGGGACTGGTCAGGGTACCTTGTTACAGCCTGGTGAGGGTAGAAATCTAGATTCCCTCTTGACCTTTGCTGGCTAGAAGTCAAGGGGTCCACAATTTTTCTGTGGTTTGGTTGGAGTAAAGCATTTATTCTCTAAAAGTTTTGATTTGATAAAATCAGCACTTTAAAAAAATATATTTTTTCATTGATAGATTGTTTTCTACTCATTTTGCTAGACACAGCAGGCTTTATTATTACTGTTACCTATTATTTTTTGTGTTCTTCAGTGCTTTTGGGTTACTGGCTTCTTCAGCTACAAGCCTCAGTGAGATGTGTGAAGCAAAAGAAAACCCAGGAAATTCAGTATCACGTCATGCCTTGGATCCTGAGGTCCCTGGCTAGCCCGCCTTCTCTCCAGCTTTCAGTCTTCTGTTTGTTGTACATAGAATGTTCAGGGATTTTAGTGGTAGGTAACTAAAGGATTAGGGAAGAGTATGTCTACTCTATCTTCCCAGAAGTCAAAGTCACCATATATATATTGCTAGTGTTTTAAATTCTTACTTAAAAAGTTATAATTTTAGGTGAGCTAGATCACTGGAATATTATATTTTTAGTATCTAAGCAAAACTGAGCTTTGCTCACTGTTATTACCATAATTGTATTAGCAAACTTGGTCTTCTTTGGAGGAGTTGAGAACTGGAGGAAACCAGACTATTGGAGGGTATGCTTGAAACTGGTGAGGTGTAACAGCTACGAACGTGGTCTAACCAACAGGCTCTGACTCAGTGTCACTGTAGAATCACAGCTGTGGCTGGAAAGTCCTGTGGTCATTTTTCCCAGCAGAACACACCGAATCTTTGTGCGATGCTCCTGCAGCTAGTTCACTCATATTCCAGGAACCTGTTTGGAGGTCCAGCTCCTGAAATTTCTGAGACAGAGGATAGCTTTTTATAACCAGGATTGCTCTATTCATGACTCTTCTTTTCTCCATTTATTCAGCTAGTAAGTGTTAAGAAGGTGATCATTTCTTTCTAAGCCAAGAATTGTAACTTCCAGAAAACATTTTTCCTTCTGATCTTGCTTCTTCTGCTTTAAAATCACATTCCAAGGGCGGCCTTGTACGAGCTTAATTCTTCAATAAGAACAAGCATGATACTTACTATATTCCAGGTTCTATTCTAAGCGCATTACATATACTTACTCCTCAAAACAATCCTAAGACATAAGTGTTTCAGCTGTCCTCAGTCTACAGGCGAGGAAACCGAGGCAGAGAGTCAAATAACCCAAAGTCTCCCAGCTAGAGAGTGGTGTCTGGTTCCCTAGTCTGTGCAGTAATCCTCTAACCACATACACTGCATATGGCCAAGGGCAGACCCATTATGTGTGATGATTGGAATCTAACAAAATGAAATGTGGTACTTTAGTGGGGAATGCAGGATAAACCACACATATAGGTAATCCTTGAGGAAGAGTATGCCAGGTTTTAAATTTAAACTTTTTTTTTTTATTATTATCAACTGTCTCTGCAGCTTGCTTGCTCTTATTAAGCTGATAAAAGATTTCCAGAGCAGAGCGATTCACCAGCACCATCGTTAAGTTGCAGATCTATCCTCTGTCACAGAGCAAGAATACACTTCAGATCAACTCAAGAAAATAATTTCACAGAAAAGTGTTCACAGAAAGACCCACATCCATTTACCATGAATTTCTAACCCGGTTTCTTTCCATAGTCCAAAAACAAGGAACCGCTCAACTGAGATATCCCTTCGGAGCAATGTTGAAAATATATTAAACGTAGAGATACCCCAGGTCCCTGTTCCAAAGGTTAAAAAATATAGTAAATGAGCACATAGAGAAAATAGCCAGAGGTAGAGTCTACTATGTTCTAATGAGTTTTTGTTTCCTTGCTTTTGATAATGTCTTCAATTTCTTCCGAGACCCTTCCTCTGTAATCATTGGGCTCTATCGCATTTAACTTCTTTTGATACTCCAGGGGCAAACCATTCTCTTTGGCGCCCATGCAAATGACCTAGAATAGTAAAAATAAACAGAAACAACTCTTTTAGTATTTAACTTAGTATACCACAGCTTTATTTGCAGTGTCAAAGCATGAAATATTAGCTTCCAGATGATTTTAGAGTAACTCTAGAACAAACAATTCTAGAACAAAAGGGAGATATGGTCCCTTCTTTCACAGTAAGGAGGAATGTGCAGGGAATTTCCAAAGTCACCTGCTAGGTCCTCATGGAATATCAACTCTAAACATAGTATGACAAAGTATTTTTATATTAAGACAAAAACCTTATTTATAGACTATGCATAATCTTTCAAGAAAAAACATTATTCTTTAAAAAAATTAAAGTTTATAGGGAGCAGTTTTTGTTGAATCCCAGAGTCTAGTCCACTGATGAATTAGACATGAGGGAGTCAAGGGCAACCGTATTCAGTGGTACTTTTCAGACCTACAGCAGGCTAATCTGCTAGGTTCCTTACTGGAAAATTCCAGAGCTGGCCCGGAACTGGGTCACCCCTCTGGGTGCCATTCCTGACTGCACCTGCTAGCAATTCCTAACTTGGGATTTCTGATAAGGGATGTGGAGGTCTCTACCCACATTATTTTCCCCCCTGTGCTTGTGGGGAGTGGTTTCCTCAGTGTGACTTTCTTTTTTCTAGCTAGGGATGGAAAACATTTCAGCAATAGGAAATATATATTTTTCCCAATGCATATTGGTGTTCATGTTTTGTGGAGGGAAAATTGATTACAAAAGCCCGCATGTAGGAAGAAAATACATGTCTAGAATCATGACTCATATATATTTCTATCAGCGTTTTAAAATAAAGTTTTTGGAATATAGTGTTATTGTTACAAATAAATCTGAACATTGTATTTCAGGTAAATAACTATCATTTTTGTATTTAATTTTTTTATTAAAATGAATTGTTCATGTAGAATTTAAAATACACAAAGCTTTTAAAAAACAAGATACTCTATTTTATTTTTTTAAAATATTTTTTTATTGATTTTTTACAGAGAGGAATAGAGAGAGATAGAGAGCTAGAAACGTTGATGAGAATCATGGACCAGCTGCCACTTGCACACCCCCTACTGGGGATGTGCCTGCAACCAATGTACATGCCCCTGAACGGAATCGAACCTGGGACCTTTCAGTCCCCAGACCGATGCTCTACCACTGAGCCAAACCGGTTTCGGCACAAGATACTCTTTAGATTAGTTCAGTGAAAATTAAGAGAAATCCCCCAAAATCTTAATAAGTATCTTACCTTTTTATACTGGGGCGAAGGGGGAGCACTCTCATAATTTTTCATCTGGTAACATCGACAGGTTATTTTTTTTCCTTCTTGAGTGTAAACATCAACTTCCATTGGGGCATATGTTCCATTATTAACCCCTTCTTGTCTGGAACCAGAACAGCTGAGTTTTAATCATACTTGACTTAGCCAAACTAGTTTACTGGATTAAGAATTTAACTACCTATGGATGTATTTGCTCCCTCTATATTTTGGGATATACGTAGTAGGACATATTATAATACTACCACATCCAAAGTAAACTTAGCATTTCAATTAGAAAACCCAAGGTTTACTATTATTTGTTATACTTCTAACAGATCTCTGTACTTGGTTTATGTAAAAACATGCTTCAGTGTAGCTATTTCATCTGTATATTTTGGAGACATGGGTCTCTAGGCTACAGAAAGTGGACTGTGTTCCGAGAGCAGGCGGGTATCCAGCCCCCTCGCTCACGGGTGAGTGAAACACCACGCGTGTCAGATAATCTGCTCTTTGCAAATCCTACTCATTTCTGCCAACTTCCTCTGTACTAAATGCTCTGCCTCACCACTCACAGAAACTCTAGTTATAAAAAGTATCAAAGCATTCCTAGTATGTTAAAGGTTTTTACAAATTATTATTTCTTTTTACTGATTCAACTGCCACCATAAAGAATTAGTTTTTAAAAACTGGCTCTACAACTACTACTTCGGAAATCAATCAATATATGTAACAATTAAAATAAATAAATAAAAAAAAATATATGTAACAATTTAAAAAATCTTCATGCTTTTTTACCATATAACACTAAGAAGGTTTATGTAAGACAACAGGATGCAAATAAGGATTTCCATCTTTTACAGAAGAGATTACACATGTCACCCCCAAATCTCAATCAGAAAGTGTGACCCTTGAGGCTTTTCTTTTTAGGAAATGCACGTTATACCTTTTATTTAACTCTAAAGTATAAAGAATACGTCCGTCTGTAGTACGTATATGGTTTTGAAAAACACATGTAGATACACATCCTTGCATATGATCCACTTTCAGAATTTGTAATTATTTAACTTATAATTAGAAGCCACCTACTTATCCAGAGAACTTAAATTGCTTTTGTTCATTTTCCATACTATTCCCCACACTTCATCGCCGGGACTGTGAAAAATGGTGGCTATCCCTCCATGCCAAGTTTCACTTGTTTTGCCTTGGGGATTGCCAAAGTCAAGCTTAAAATCCTACAAAGAAAACCAAAGGGACATGATCAATGTTCTCTTGAACCAAAATTTCCTCAAAAAAGAAAAAAAAAAAAGATTTACGTTGAACTTTATGCAATTAAAATGTAAACTTTGAGTTCCTTCTGTAGGTAAGAAACTATGGAAATAGAAAGATTAACAAAAATCCGTATCTCAAGGATTGTTATATATTTTTCATATTCTTCTTTAAAAATGAAATGTATACTGAATAGGTACAGTATCTTACCATAAACAAAAAGTTTAAGTGGGAAAAAAAATCCCATAAATCCCAATGCCTTAACAACTATTTCAATTTTTAAAAAAATATATTTTATTGATTTTTCACAGAGAGGAAGGGAGAGGAATAGAGAGCTAGAAACATCAATGAGAGAAACATCGACCAGCACACCGGGGATGTACCTGCAACCAATGCACATGTCCTTGACTGGAATCGAACTTGGGACCCCTCAGTCCGCAGACCGATGCTCTATCCACTGAGCCAAACCGGTTTCAGCTCTATTTTCATTTTTGAAAATTACTTTCCAGCCTACTTACAGATAGATTTTTAACTTAGAAGCAATGACAGTGTATATAATTATTGAAACTGGTGTAAGCTACATAGGAGTTATAATAGTCTCTATTTTTATGGACATAAGGAGTATTGATTAGTATATATCATGATGTTTGCCCTAAGAGAGCTGGCATTTGAGGGTAATTTGTATACAATGAACATTAATCTAATATTCATAAACTCTACAAATATATCTATAATTATCATAAAAGCAACTAACACACTGGAAAATTACTGGGTTCTATATACGTACTGTGCTGTGAGCTTTATATGGACTCTCATTTGTATCTTGCCTAATAAACTTATTATACCCATTTCACAGCAAGAAAAACTGTGGCTTACAAAATCAGGCAACTTGCCTAAGGTTTCACGACTAATAAGTAATGGAGCCAGGTTTCCAGTTTAGCTTCTTTCCTCACAGAGAGGGCACAGGCCTGGGGAAGATGAAAAATCCTTACGTGGCTGTTTGATCTAGGAAGACTGCTTTCCATCTTCCCAGAAATTAGTTCCCTTAATGATAACGTGAACAAGGATGGGCTCAATGATAACTCTAAGGTTTAAATTTTATCCTTGTCAACTTTATTTTCTTAAAAACATTCTCAGATGTTTTAGGAAAAAGTGTTTGTTTGTTTTCAGTGACCAGTACCTTCCACTGGTATCCTGGATATTCTAGGACCAAGTGTCCCTTCAAAGGATCTGATAGGAGTCACCGCCACACTAGGAACTGGCTGCCTATTGCTAAAGGCAAGAGACAATTTTCAATCTTCATCTTGTCCCAGTTCTCAGCTGCTTCTGACACCACCCTGTCTTGACCTGCTTTCTCCTGACTTCCAGGTTGTTCCTTGATCTCAATTACCTTTGCCAACTCCTCCTCGACTACCTGGTCTTAAATGTTGGAGTTCCTAAGGGTTCAGTTTAGGCCTTTTCTCTGTTCATTCAGTAGCTTGTTCAAGACAATCTCAACCCTCCAATAACTTCAAATATCATCTAATATTCCAGTCACCTTTAATCCAACCCAAATCTCCCTCTGGGCTTCAAAAGTGCTTAAAGCAAGCCTACACATTCCAAGTACCTAATAAATGTTCATTAATATTGTTCTGCTCACTTGGATGTAAAACCAGCATATCAAATTTAGTACGTGCAAATCAAGCTTGATTTCCCCTCCCAAACCTGATTCTCCTCTTTACAAACACCACCATCACCCACCCTGTTATTGCACCAACAGCCTTTGTCATCCCTATTATCTCTCCTGCCTTCAGAGGCAATCACTGTTGACACTGTTACCTCCTAAATATCTCCCCCAACCCCCACCCCAACGTGGCGTTTCTGCTGTCCGTGGGCAGATGATGACTGTTATTTCCTAAACATCCCCCAAACCCATTTACCCTCCCTTGCTACCACTCACGGTGCCATGATCGTTAGCATGGAGCTTTTTAACTGGGCTCCCACACCCTCCATTGCCACCTGTACGCCTTCCAAGCCATTTTCCACAGCAACCAGAAGAGGTAAATTAAAGACGTAAATCTGATCTCTCCTTTGCTTAAGTTCCACAGTGGCTCTTCTCAGGCTCCCAAGATAAAACCAGTCTTCTCTGACCTGTGGTCCTGCAACAGGTGGCCCTTCCCTACCTCGGCAGCCCCCATGCCATGGCTCCCTCACACACTCAGCGCCAGCCTCACCAGCTGGGGGACCCAGCTTCTCTCCTGAGGGAGGTCTTTGGTGCACACTTCTCCTTCTGTTTGCTCCTGCCCTCCCCCAATCATTCAGGTCTTGGCTTAAGCAATCACATTTTCAAGAAGAGCTTTACTGATCATTCTGGTTAGGTCAGATCTCCATGCCATACACTCTTCTCCTAAAAAAAATAAAAATAAAAAAATAAAAAAGCCTTTTTTTTTTTTTTAGAGGAATTTTAGGTTCACAGCAAAATTGAGATGAGGGTAAAACTCCGTTTTAAGACTAACCATACTTATAAACTGGATGATCATTTTCTTGATAGCTTTTCTCATCATCTGAACTATCAAGTGTCTGACTTCTCTCCCACATTTGGGGGACTCCCTACCTTATGCACTTGGGGGGTAGAGTGCCAGAGCCCAACTCCCAGTTTTGAAGCTTTGAACACCAGAAGTTGGTTCTCCCAGCTTTGCTTGGGCACGTGGCCAAGATTTAGCCAAACTGGACAACTCCCCCTGAGTCTTTGAATTATGCCCAAGGACAGCAGACACTCGACACTGGTGGTGGCGGCCACAACTGGGTTTCAGGATCTGCAGGGGTGTCGTGACAGCGGCAGGCAGGGTCCAGCCCAGATGGCGCTGGTGCTGGGTGAGGCAGTGCCCTCGTTTACCCAGTTCAGCAGGGGTGCAGCCCGGCCTCCGGGGCTGCTCCTGTTCGTGGCACTGGCTGCCTTACCATCGCCATGCCTCCCTTTATGCTTGCCTGTTTCGTAAGCTTTGTGGTCCTGACTTCCTGGTCATTCTGTAAGCTCTCCAACAGCCTTTCAGTGCATTCCCTTTCTGCTTAAATCAGCCACTTTCTGTTGCTTGCAACCAAGAACCCTGATGATGACAGCAGAGGCCGTGTTTGTCGAGTACAACAAGCAAAATGGTTTTGTAACGTAATTTGTCTGCGTGCTTCTCCTGTAGCCTGGAAGGTCAAAGCAGCCAGCTCTGCTCAACCATCTCTGTGTCTGCAGGTAAGTGCTGGAAAAACATGCAACTAAGAACCCCGATGACAGCAGAGGCCGTGTTTGTCAAGTTCAATGTGCCAAAAGCTTTTGTAACATAATTTGTCTGCGTGTTTCTCCTAACAACCTGGAAGATCCTCAAAGCAGCCAGCTCTACTCAGTCATCTCTGTGTCTCCAGGTAAGTGCTGGGGAAAAAAGGAATGAAGGGACTGAGCGGAAGAGCATGATTTTTACCCAGGTTGGCTCCGTTTCACCAGCCACTTAACTGAGCAAAGCCCTTCAGGAGGAATAAGACATGGTTCCAGCTTCCAGGGCCTCTCAAGTTCAGGGGACGGTGAGGGATGAATGAGGAAAGACAGAAAAAGGATCTTTTTTTTTTTTTTTACAATACCAGGTGACAAGTCCAGTAGCAAAGATACCTCCCAAAACAGAAGGCAACTGAAACAGGGTGGGAGAAAGCTTCTCCGAGGTGTCAACGGAATGGATTGAGAGGATGCCCCTAAGTCAGTGGACGAGCAGAAGGAGCAGCTGGAGGGCATGATAGGCCAGGAGGGGAGCCACGGCGGCCTGGGGCACCGATGCTGGGGAGGCAGCGCTCAGGGGTCAAGCACAGGCCGCGAGGGCGCGGTGGGCCTGCCCGGGAGGGCACATCGTGAAGATGAGCCGCACTCTCATGGGTGAGAGCTGCGTTCCCGGGCCCCACATCGCAGGGGCCGGGCGGGGAGCACTGACCTGCAGGCGGGCCACGCAGCAGAACTCGGCCGAGGGGTTCCGCAGGTGGATCCGCTCGGTCAGCAGGTTGCTGCCGTAGGCGAAGTACACAACACTCTTCTCCTCTTCCGGGCCCCGCGGGTCCTCGCTGCCCGAGCTCGCCATGGCCCGCCCGCCGGACGCCCCGCGCCAGCAGCCGGGGTAGGAGGAGAGGACGGCGAAGGCGGCGCGGCCCCGGGCGACCCCAGCTCAGTGGCCGCCGCCCCCGGAGTTTGGGGGGGGAAAAGGTGGGAAGGGTGGGCCGGGCGAGTCGTCGGGAGAGAGCGCTCTTCTGATTGGCTGTCGGCCCCCAACGACGCCAGTCGCCCCTGCTGATTGGCCAAGCCCGCCGCCCTCAAGCCACTTTCCTCTTGGACTCGGAAATGCTCAGTCCGGAGGCGACCGGGGTCTGGCTCCTCATTGGACACGCCTTCGCTTGTCCCGCCTCTGTGGTCAAAGGCAGCCTCTGATTGGCGCGTGGTCGGGCGCTACGCGGAGTCAGGTCAGGTCGCGTGGGCTCGGTTCGGCGGTCGCGGCGCCGGTCGCCACCAGGTTTCTCCCTCTCGGGCGTGGGCCGGGGCGGGGAGCGCGTGTGGGTGGCGGCGGGGGGTGCGCTTTAGGGAGCTGTGGGCAGGCAGGTATGGGGCGAAACAGCGGCCGTGGCGACGGCAGCTTCCTCCTCCGGCAGCTCGCCTCTGGCCCGGTTCGGATGAGTCGGCAAGGACCGGGCTGTTCACCCTGCACCCCAGCCCTGATGGTCCGTCTCCCCGATTCCTTTTCTAGGGACGCTTCGCCTCCTGGAGAAGTCCCTCTGAACGCCCCGGGCTCCCTTCCCTGACGGAAGTGCGGCGCCGGGTTCAAATTCCGACGCTGCCGATCGGTGTAAGTATTGCTATTAAGTGCACAGACCCCCCCCCCCCGCCCGTATAAAATAAGATGTGAAAGTATTAAAGCAACGGATTAAAACCCTGTCTTGCTAACTTTGAAGTGAAGGTATTAATATGAACTCAGGCCTAGAAGCAAATCTTTGGTACCCAGATTTTGACCCCTAAATACCATTATCCACAAAAAGGTACATGGAGAAGGGGCTGAGGCCCCGTCAAGAGCTGGGAATGAGGGGATTCTTGGAATATCTCCTGACAGGAAGTCGGGAAGTATCCAAGAGAAAAGATGTTCTTCTATTTAAAAAAAAAAATTAAAAAATTTTAAAGATACCTTGATTGATTTCAGAGAGGAAGGGAGAGGGAAAGACAGAAACATCAATGATGAGAGAGAACCTTTGATTTGGCTGCCTCCTGCTCGTCCCTTACTGGGGATCAATCCTGCAACCTAGTCATGTGCCCATGACCAGAATGGAACCTGGGACCCTTCAGTCCGCAGGCTGATGCTCTATCCACTGAGCCAAACCAACCAGGGCGAAAAGGGAGTTCTTTTAAAAGGACCCGGGAGCCAGCCTGACGGAAAGCCCACTGGCCAAAGTTACAACAATTTGAGGGTCAAAAATACTGACTGCAGTTGATGGAAAATGTAAAACATGTAAAAGTCATTTCCTGGAAACAGTAAGCCAAATCTTAAAAAAAAATTTCTAGAAACTCCCATTTGTCATATTACTGGCGATGACTATTATACCAGCTCTTTACTCTGAAAAGCGGTTAAGTGAAATAAATAAACATTTATCCTGCCTTTCTAGTTGCAGGTGTATTTCAAAGTAATCAAATAGCCCCAGTTGATGTCAAAACAGCTGTTACTAAAGCCATTTGGTGAAAGGGTGAAAGGGAACAGAATATTAACATGTGCACCATTATTCCCCAGGAATTACCCGATAACAGTGGAAAAATGTGGCCTCTCCCATCTTAGCCTTGATGAATCTTACCACCACTGAACGTGGGCCGTGACTTTTTTGTGTCTCCAGCATCCATCTGTGAGTATCATTATCAAAAACCTTTAACTTCAACATCATAAAGCAGGAACTACAGGATTGGAAGGGGAGGAAAATGACACCAAGAGGAAAAATCTAAAGCAAAGTCTAGGACGGACTGCAGAGCAAATAGCTTAGCCTCTTCAGTTAAGCCAGTGTCGTTTAATGAAATAAGAGTTGCTTTTGCTGGGCTGCTGGTCCGGAGCCATGGTGCCCTCGCTGTGGAAGGGGCTGGTGGGCGTCGGCCTTTTTGCCCTAGCCCACGCAGCCTTCTCCGCCGCCCAGCATCGTTCTTACATGCGATTAACAGAAAAGGAGGATGAGTCCCTGCCCATAGATATAGTTCTTCAGATCCTCCTGGCTTTCGCAGTTACGTGTTACGGCATAGTTCATATCGCAGGGGAGTTTAAAGATATGGATGCTACGTCAGAACTAAAAAATAAGACCTTCGACACATTACGGAATCACCCATCGTTTTACGTCTTCAATCATCGGGGTAGAGTACTGTTCCAGCCTTCGGATGCAACAAATTCTTCAAACCAAGATGCGTTGTCTTCTAACACATCCTTGAAGTTACGGAAACTCGAATCACTGCATCGCTGAGATTTTTACACCAATCAATCATCACAACGGGACAGGACACGGAGCTGGAATACTGGCGTTTGGGGGTCTATAAAACACTTCCCCCCATCGATACTTCTCTTGATCTTTCAGACCTAATTTTTAAAAGGTTGATGCCCCTGGTTTTTATACTGTTAAATTATTGATGCAGTATAAAATAGCTGTGAAATGAGTCTTTGATCTTTCATAGAGTTCTTTTCCCCCCATTTAAAACAAATAGGCATCTTTTGTAAAAGTCACTGTTTTGAAAACATTTCTTTGGGGGGAAAAATGTTGATGTGTTTGTAATTGTTTTCTCAGATTTTGTTTCCTTAGCACTACAGTTTTTAGGATCCTTTTGGAAACAGTGTGACTGCTGCATTTTGCTGCATGAATGATAATAAAATGGTCTTCAGTTCTTTTTTTCTTTTTTTAAAATATATTTTATTGACTTTTTACAGAGAGGAAGAGAGAGAGATAGAGAGTCAGAAACATCAATGAGAAAGAATCATCGATCAGCTGCCTCTTGCACACTCCCTACTGGGGATGTGCCTGCAACAAAGGTACATGCCCTTGACCGGAACGGAACCTGGGACCCTTCAGTCCTCAGGCCAACGCTCTATCCAATGAGTCAAACCGGTTTTGGCATGGTCTTCAGTTCTTAACAAGTGGACTTATCTGCAGAGATTTAAAAAGGTGACATCAGTTTTTGTAGGCCCTCTAAAAAGAGGCTCTGCTTCAGGAGTTACTTGCCAGATTTTAATTTTTCCTTCACTTCTCACCCCACCCGACTTCCATAATACCTTCTGACATCAGCCATCTCCTGGCATCACTTCTCTGGAGTTCCGTGTGCAGTGAGCAATTTTTGTGTCAGAAATTCTTTGTTATAACAAATCTACTTAATAGACTCAACTCGCTGTAAAGCTACTTGTAGTCTTTGTTTATCTGTAAAAAATGTCCCTAATTGGTTATGTAGTGTAAGAATGTTGAAGGTACACCAAAAAGACCCTTTGGGATTTAATTATCCTGTTTATGTAGAAGAAGAATCACTGAGGAAAACTGATTGTCATTAGCCAGTTTAATTTATTCAAATTCTGTTATTTTATTGCATTCTACACTAGTGAATTAGTAAAAATAAACTTCTCATTAAAAGAATTGGGCCCAAAATGGTTTAAATATTTGGAACTACTATCTTTAATTTTTTTTTTTCATTTAAGAATTTTTTTTGTGGCTTCTGGCTTGTCGCTGGCTTACAGTTTTCCATCTTCATTGTACGTTGATGAAGATGATACAGAGTAGTACTTTTTTAGTAATTTTAGTTTTAGGGAAATTTGACTAGCCTTTTGATCTGAAGAAAGCTTAACATTTCTTGGTAGAGAAATTTTATTGAATTCTCAGGTATGAAAACATTGCTTATGTGGAATTGTGTAGATGTAAAGGGAATAACTATGCAGATTTGAAATGGAAATGAGCTTTAGGCAAGAGTTATATGATGCCCTTACGCTTATTGGCATTTTTTCCTCTAGAAATGAACCTTAGCACTTCTGCCTGGAAGCACACAGCCCCAAAGCAGGAGGTTTTGTCATTGGGCTTTTATTGTTTTATTTAGTTTTGTTTTGCCAACCTAGTCTACCTGTGGAATACTAGCTCTGCTCTCTAAAGAGAACAAAGTTGGAAATCTTCTAATAACCTAGAATAACTTACAAGTGAGTTAAAGAGGTGAAATCGGGTAAAAAGTGGTGATAAAATCAAAACTGTGTGTGAGAAACAGCTCCTTACATAGGTTGTATAGCGTTTCCTTGGGGATGACTAGATTCCCAAGGGCCTCTTGTAATCTTATTTTGGGGCTGTCTTCCTTTCAGAACAACTTTATTAAGATATAAGTCATATTCCTTATAACTCACCACTTAAAAGGTACAGTTCAGTGGTTTTGTAATATAATCACTAGTTGTGCAGCTATGACCACAGTCAATTTGAGAACAGTGTTATCTATCACCCCCAAAAGAAACTAACCCTTTAGCAGTCATCTCTCATTTCCCCCAATGCCTCCCAGTCCCGAGCAACCACTTTCCTGTCTCTCTGATTTGCCTATTCTGGTCCTTTTAATTGAATTTATTTGATCTTTCATAACTGCTTTCTTAAATATAGTTTTGTTCTATGAAGAGTGAGAACTTCTCATCTTGAGAATTGTGAGTGCTGTGAAAGAAAGTGTGATTGGTGTAATAAGTGGATGTAAGACAGAGGGTCAGATTTTAATTATAATATAAAACAGTCCATGACTACCTAGGGTAGTCCCAAAAGTGTGATGCAAGCTAGTTCAGTCTGCAGTGGACTACTGAAGGATCTCTAGAATATGAGAAGACTCACCTCTTAACCAGGGAGCCAGCTCTCTGCGATGGGCCAATAGCCCAGCCGCACATAGTGCCCTGTAACTCCCTTTTTCACACGTCTTCCATCCAAAATGGCTCTGTGGTCAAAGCTGGAAAGGACTGTTTTGTCTACTTCCTCTTGGACAGTCCAGGGTCCATGACCACAGGAAGGAATCGGAGGATACCTGTCATGAAGAGACCTGCTGAGCTCTGTTAAGTCCTGACTTCCCCAGGCCTTTGGTGTGAGGAAGCATGTTACCGAGCATGTGGGGAAATGCCTTGATTTTTGAAGGATGATTGCTTAGTTCTTGCAGAATCATATTAACTAAACCGTTATATTATCCGGAAAATTGAAGACAAGCAATGATGTTGGCTAGATGTTATTTATTGCTTTAATATGATTTCAAAGCCATTTGTTGATGACTTAAAAGTTGTTTTAATGACCTGTTTATGGCCTAGCAACTTAAGAGGACAGCTGATCTTCTCTGTTGATAAGCTGTCAGCAGCTCATCTGCTAGGGGAAGCAACCCTAGCTATATTAGTATTTTATATAGAGTATCTAGATGATACATACAATATGTGAGGACTGTTCAGGAGGCAGTCTGGGCAAGGCGCACTTTGCTGAGCTAGCTCTCTGAGGACTTTGGGCGTTAGCTCCTGTCTTGGTGAGGTGTTGCAGAAGGTGGAGATAAGACTTGCAGCGACCCCATTGCGGAATCATCCTGCCCACTAACACGTTCCTTAGCAATGTGCTCTGGCAACAGTGGACTTGCATTTTGTGCTGGCAGCTGGGAAGTCAGCTCCAGGTTGGTTAAGGGTGGCCCTCCCCAGTGCCTACCTGTAGAAACAAGTCCACCCCAGCTAAATTTGGGCATTATTTCTCTCACTTTCCCTTGCCTGAATAATAGTATAATTAATCTAGCATTGCTTTGACATACGTTACTATCTTTTTAAGAGACGCTTTCCTGGATGCTATTCGCACGCTTTTGACATTCCCTCAATGAACTGGTGTTAAATAAATGGCTGGCAAAGACAAAATTAGTCTCTTGAGTATAATTTTACCGCCAAAACATAACATTAGAGGGGAGAATTTCAAATCTTTGTACTGTTCTGGTTTGCTGCTGCTTTGCTTGGTGGGTGATACAACCTTTTATCACAATTCCAGTCCTTGGAATCTTACCAGACAGGGAAGCTGGCCCTGAGCAGGTCTGCCTATGGCCAGTGGGTAGTGTGTGGGTTCTTGGCTTCAGGTAGAAAAGAATTCACAATACAAGCCCAGGTGACTGAGGGTGTGTTTATTAAATCTGGGAGGGTGTGTTTATTAAATCTGAAGGCCTTCCATTGTTTCATTAAATGAAACAATGGAAGGCCTTCAGGAGAGCATAGGCTGGGCTGCTTTAGGTCACTGGGAAGTCAGAGAAAAAGGAGCCGTGGAGATAGGTTCAGGGGGTTAGCCTGGGATGAGCTGCTGCTGCCTGTTGCTCGCCTAGTTGCAAGTCTTCATGAGGTCCCTTAGAGTTTAAGAGGTGCATGCCTATGGGGGAAAGCAAAGGAGGCAGGGGAAGGCACAGAGGGAGAGCACACACTGGGTCCTTTGTCCTGAGGGTTTTTTCTCTTGCAGGTGGGAATCTTAGAGGAGGGTTTCAGCAGAATATTCACCAATTTTCCAGGTGTGCTCTTTCAGGGTTGAGGTCTCTACTGGTTGGTTAGTGCCAGGGCAAGGGACTGTTAGTCATTGCAGCTGCCCCTATTGTTGCATACTTGGTCTGGGCCTGGAGCTAAAATACAACCTGGGCCTAGATGTTATCTTTAGGGAGGTGACCTTCTATGTCTGCTTAAGTTGCTGGGCCAGTCTGTTCAGCTGTCTCAGTTTTCCCATTCCACCTGTCCTGGCTTACTGGCCTGTTTGAGAAATGTTGCCTGCCTTTGCTGATTAAATTCCTGATAATCAGGTTGAAACTGCAATTATATATAGAAATACCTATCAACCTCTATTACGTGCAATAGTGGTTACAAACTGGTGAAAATAAGAATTTGATAGCCAGGCTGAGTGAAAAACATGAGATAGGAGTTTAAAATTCTCAAGCTGGAAAAGGTTTGGCTCCTTGGTCCTTAATATTTTCCATCCTTCTTTCTTTGCTCTTTCTTGTTTCCTTTAAGGTTGTCAAAGCAGTTTACAGGGGTTGGAGAGCAGGTTAGGCAGCTTCCTGGAAATGTACCTAATTAGCAGCATTGGTAGCAGCAGCTGCTCTTGTTAGGCTAGTACAGTGGTCGGCAAACTGCTGCTGAGCGCGATTTGCCACTCTGTTGACTAATGAGTTTGCCAACCACTAGGCTAGTAGTTTCTTTCTTTCTTTCTTTCTTTTTTTTTTTTTTTTTTTAATATATTTTATTGATTTTGTACAGAGAGGAAGGGAGAGAGATAGAGAGTTAGAAACATCGATGAGAGAGTCATCGATCAGCTGCCTCTTGCACGCCCCCTACTGGGGATATGCCCGCAACCAAGGTACATGCCCTTGACCGGAATCGAACCCGGGACTCTTCAGTCCCCAAGCCAACGCTCTATCCATTGAGCCAAACCGGTCTCCGCTAGGCTAGTAGTTTCTTAAAATGTTTCAACTTGCTCATTAAAAC